CGAAACAACCGTCTTACGAGTACATTAATCCGCGCCGCGATAAGGACAAGTCAGTTTTACTGTCCACGGATAACGACACCGAAAGAATTGATCGCTCGCATTGCATGATATAATGGTCTACCAGAAACGCAATGTCACTCACTCCTAATGCCCTGTTTGGTTGAGCTCACTCCTAAAAAAAAGCTGCTCTAAAAGCTAAAAGCTGTTTGGTTAAACAAGTATAAAATATACCGCTTATCTTTATCTCTTGAAACAACTATGGAAGAGCTTTTTTATTCCACCAATTTCAAAAGAAAAAGTTAAAAGCCAAAAGCGAGGTCAATGTTCAAAAATGAACTACTGAAAAGCAACCGCTACTTCAAAAAAGCACCTCAAAAGCAGCTCCATTTTGGTTGGACTTTTGGTTTTTGGGGCCAAAAGCCAAAGCCAAAAGCCCAACCAAACAGGGCCTAAATGCTCTACCAGAAACGCAATGTCACTCACTCCTAGCTGTCGCGACATGACGCTATAGTAAGCCGCCATCTTGCTGTCGCGACATGACGCTTCTTTCATGACCTGGCTGACGACCAGCTCCGAGTCCCCCCTGATGAAGAGGCGACGGGCGCCCAGCTCAGAGGCAATTATGAGGCCATGGATGAGGGCTTCATATTCTTCAACGTTGTTGGGTGCCTGGAAGTGGAGTCGGAAGGCGTACTCCACGTGTTCTCCTGTTGGGGAGATTAGGACGATCCCGGCCCCCGCGCCCATGGCCATGAGCGACCCGTCGAAATACAGCGTCCAGTATTCCTGACAGGTCGGAGGTGGGGGCATCTGTATTTCGGTCCATTCAGCGATGAAGTCCACGAGGACTTACGATTTGATCGCCGTTCTTGGGACGTATGTGATGTGGTAACCCATGAGCTCGGCTGCCCATTTGGCCACGCGAACAGAGGCATCGCGGTTTTGAACCACATCGCCGAGCGGGGCAGACGCCACGACTATGATGGGGTGCCCCTCAAAGTAGTGCAACAACTTTCGTTTGGCAATGAGGATGGCGTAGATAAGCTTATGGATCTGCGGGTAACGTACATTAGTGTCTGAGAGAACTTCGCTGATGAAGTATACCGGCCTCTGGATCTTGTGGGAGTGCCCGCTTTCTTCTTGCTCGACGACGAGCGCCGCACTGACCACCTGGGTGGTCGCATCAATGTAGAGAAGGAGCGGTTCCCACTTCTCGGGTGATACCAACGTGGCGGTCGTTGCTAGGAACGCTTTGAGCTTCTTGAAGGCCTCCTGCGCTTCAGTCGTCTAGGTGAACTGGTCGGCCTTTTTCAAGAGCCTATATAGTGGCATGCCGCGCTCCCTAGCCGTGAGATGAATCGGCTAAGGCAGTCTAGGCATCCCATGAGCTTCTGGACTCCCTTTAGGTTGGTGATGGGACCTAGATTCTCGATCGCTGTAATCTTCTCCGGGTTGGCTTTGATGCCCCGCTCGGAAACGATGAACCCGAGAAGCTTTCCCTTGGGGATCCCGAAAACGCACTTTTCGGGGTTGAGCTTAATCCAAAATTCTCTGAGATGAGTAAAGGTGGCCTCTAGGTTGCTGACCAGCTGGTCAGCTTTCCTAGACTTTACGACGATGTCGTCGATGTAGACTTCTACGATGTCCCCGACGAGTTCACCGAGGCATTGGTTCATGCACCTCTGGTAGGTGGCTCCTGCGTTCTTGAGTCCAAACGGCATGGTGACGTAGCAGTAGGCGCCAAACGGGGTGATGAAGGAAGTTGTGAGCTGGTCGGGCTCCTTCATCGTAATTTGATGATACCTCGAATATGCGTCCAGGAAGGAGAGGGTTTCGCAACCCGTGGTCGAGTCGACGACTTGATTGATTCGCGGTAGCGGGTAGGGTACCTTTGGACATGCCTTGTTTAGGTTGGTGTAGTCCACGCACATCCTCTAGGCCCTGTTCTTCTTTCGAACTAGGACCGGATTAGCGATCCATTCGGGGTGGAAGACTTCCTTGATGAATTCTGCCACCAGGAGACTGGCGATTTCTTTTCCAATGGCCTTCCACCTTTCGTCGTCGAAACGACGGAGGCGCTGTTTGATCGGTTTGGATCCGAGCAAGATATCGAGGCTATGCTAGGCGACCTGCCTCGGGATTCCTGGCATGTCGGAAGGTTTCCATGCAAAGATGTCCCGATTTTGGAGCAGGAAGTCGGTGAGCTCGTGCTCTTGCTGGTCGGAAAGGACGCAACCGATCCGAACGGTTTTGCTGGTGTCTTCGGGGTTGACTTGTACCACCTTGGTGTCCTCAGTGGGCTTGAAGGCTCCCACAGACTGCTTCCTTGTGCTGGACTCGGGTGCGACTTCGGTCATGGTAGCCTGGATAGTTTGCAGTTCTGAGGCTCGAATTGCTGCCGCCGCGATGTTCAGGTTTTCCTCCTTGTAAGAGTGCGCCTGGTGCAGGTCACCGCTTACCGTGATGATCCCCCGAGGGCCGGGGAGCTTAAGCTTGAGGTAGGCGTAATTAGGAACGGTCATGAATTTTGCGTAGCACGGTCGGCCCAAGATGGCTTGATAAGCGCCAGGGAGGTCGATTACCTCGAAGTCGAGCGTCTCCGTCCGAAAGTTTGCTCACCCTCCAAATGTGATGGGCAGGGTGATCCGCCCGAGGGGTGATACCCGCATTCCTGGTACAACCCTATAGACAGTGGCATTCATTGGCCGTATTGCTGCTCTGAAAAGGTGATCATTATTTTTTTTTAAAGAAAAATCTTGACAGTACAATGAAGCGGCGACATCAACTTCAAAGGGGTCGAGCATCTACAAGAACAACTAAAACAAAGAAACTAACAACGGACAAACTACAATTTATAAAGAAAAGACAGAACAATCTACAACTTCATTAAGCAACATCGCTCAAATAAAAAATCATCTAGTACGAGTACACAAAGTGTCTGTGGTACATAAGCTGCAAACTCCAATATGGAAGGCCCCCCAAATCTTCTAATAATCTTCCTCTAGAAACCTGCTCTAACCGTCCAAAGGTTGGGTTAAACCTGATATTTATGGCGCCGTGCGTGGAGCCACCGTCAGTGCACTGACCGCGGAGGGAATTTAAACACGGTCAAGCTGATGACTCGAGGATGACACAGCACTGTTTCATAGTGTACACGCTAGCTAGCTAGTATACAACTACGACGACGTACGTAAGCCAGCAAGAGGTGAGGTGAGTTTCTCTGGTAAGCAAGAGCTGTTATTGATGAGACTTTCTGGGCGGATTGGAGTGCACTGCCAATGGTTTCTTCGCGGACAGCCGGCAGGGCATGACGGATGCTTGCATAGGCTAAAGCTGAGATCACCGATGATTGATGTCACTGCACAGACTGCACTGCAGCGACGAATGAAGACAACACACGCACTTGAAGTTGAAGAGAAACAGATCGAGGCCTTGTTTAGTTTCTCATAGAATTTTTAGCCGTATCACATTAAATGTTTACACACATATATATAAAGTATTAAATATAAACTAAAAAAATAATTAATTATACATATTACGATTACTTTACGAGACAAATCTTTTAAGTCTAATTAGTCTATGATCTAAGAATAAAGTGCTCCAGTAACACATGTGCTAATGACGAATTAATGAGGCTTAATAAATTTGTCTCGCGGTTTACCGATGGATTCTATAATATATTTTTTTATTAGTATCCGAACACCCCATACGACACCCCCACGTAACATCCGATGTGACACCCTGAATCTAAACACCACCCAAAACAGCCGTCGGCCTTGTTTAGTTCCTCCCTAAAGTTTAGTTCCTATCACATCGTATGTTTGATATATGTATAGAGTATTAAATATAGATTAAAAAATAACTAATTGCACACATTACCACTATTTTACGAGATGAATTTTTTAAGCCTAAGTAGTCCATGATTTGACAATATGGTGCTACAGTAAAAATATGTGCTGATGATGGATTAATTAGGCTTAATAAATTTGTCTCACGAATTACTGAGAATTTGTATAATTTATTTTATTATTACTATCAAACACTCTTATATAACCACCGTGTGATATCTGAAGTAACGTTTCTAAACTTTATAGTACATTAATCCGCGCCGCCACGCGACAAGGACAAGTCAGTTCTACTGTCCACGGATAACGACACCGAATTGATCCCTCGCATTGCATGATATTATGCTCTACCAGAAACGCAATGCCCCTCACTGCTAGCTAGCTACTACTCCTATAGCTCGATGCCAAGGCATACACGACGTGAGATCACCTGCATTCACATTGTTGAAAAACACAAATGATTCACTAGCAAATGCAACAACGATGAACAATCAATTAGCCCAATTAACCTGTTCGTTTGTTAGTTTTATCTAGAGTTTTTCAGTTAGCCAAAATGTTTTTTCTCTCACAACAAATCAACACCAATCAAGCTTATCAACCTAGAAACCAATCAATGAACAGACCAAACGATACAAATACAAACCTAGACCTAGACCTCCTCATCTCCTCAATGCATTGCAATGTTTTAAATAGCCGACTAAACTATTTAGCTATTTATGTTCAAACTATAACCGGCTATAGCGATAAATAAAGGTTAACTTATAAATAAAAAAAATTAGCTAAATTCTTCTCAAATAATTATAGTCAAAGATAACGAAGGCTATCGCCGGAGATTTAAAACATGTTGCATTGCCAAGGCTTACCGAGGCGAGAGCGAGAAACACAACTAAATCGAATTACCCCACAGGAAAAGGGGTGACTAAAACGCTGTTGCAAACAGAAACTCTCACTAAAAGACAACATGCATCAACTACCTGCACCACTAGCTGAAGCAGCAAATTAACTGGCTAGCTAGTCCCGATCATCGAAAGCTAAAAGAAATTCCTCTGTCAAAGCGAAGCACACAGCTAGGACCTAGGAGTGCAAAATGGCGTCCGCCATCCAAGCCATCCAAGTCGTCGTCGTCGTCGTCGTCGCCGCCGCCGCCGTCGCCAGTCAGTCCTGGAACCCGGTGGTGCGCTTCCACACCGCGTCCCGGACCTTGAGCGTCCGGCCGACGACCCCGTTCTTCAGCGACAGCGACGCGGCGCGGCGGCGCCCCGCCAGCTCGTGGGGCGGCACCCAGTCCACGGAGTCCTCGTCGTCGTCGAGCTCCCAGTCACCGTAGTGGTAGCCAGGCCGGTACTCGCTGCCCAGGATCTTGGACCAGTCCGGGATCTTCACCGGCAGCGACCCGTGCGCGGCCCTGCCGTCCGGCGCCAGCGCCGGCTTCGCCGGCGACGCCTTCCGCGCGGCCCGAAACGGGCCCGCCTGCGGCGGTTCCGCCGGCGCGAACGCGCCCCAGATGTCCGACTCGTCGAAGTCCTCGCCAGCGCCACCGGCGGCGGCTGCTGGGCTCGTCGGCACGACGACGCCGTGCGGCGCCTGCGCGAAGTGGAGGTACCCGCGCTCCGTCGCCGCCGACCGCGTGGTCCTCGCCATTGTGCGTACTACCACCACGTCTACCGTCGACTTCGGGCGAGGAGGGATGGTAGGACCAGGGAGGGGAAAAAGAAATAAGCGCCCGTGTGGAGGAGGAGATGAGCGCGTTGGGTCGTGAATTTATAGGCGAGAGAGGAAAGCGGGTGGAAACGGATAAGGTCGTTTATGCAACGTCGCTACCGGCAGCCGATGTTTTCGTTTTGGATAATGGACCAGAAATTAAAGTATTGGGCAGGATTAGTAGTAGTACAGTATATATAGTACGACGGGGAAACAGAGACTTATCTGTGTGCCAACCTGAAAATAGGAGAGTTTGTAGACGAGTTGTCCTCTAATTCCTTTTGTTAACCATCATGACTGTTAATGTGAAATATTCCCACTGTCTGAGCATTATTATCCGATCATGTAAAATACTCCGGTCTTACGTGTATATATGGTCAGATTGTTTCGCCGTGAACTTGTGATTGACACTTCGGCACTTCGCTGGATGTAGTAACATAATAAAATAAAATTTGGTGGCAAATGTTGACGGCGTCTGCGATGGGGGTCCAAACCCGACGTGTCGCAGACCACCAGTCCATCACACGTACACACGCCGCTCCGGATCGTTATCCGCTGCATGGGTGCCATCATCGCTTTCGGCCGGAGCTCGGAGCGAAGGCAGTGGATGCGCCGGAGGGGGTGGACCCAGTCAGCAGGCGGACGTGGCCACGCCGGAGTGGCTCCGCTCCCGCGCGCCGCGTGGGCGTGTAACCCGCGACTGGCCTGGGCCGTGCGTGATAGCGCCCGTATGTCGATGCGCTTTGCAGGCACACGTGCAGTGTGGTTCTGTGTCAGCGGCTCGTAAGAGCGAGGTGCAGGAGGCCCTCTCGTTTGGTGTCTGCAAAGAGGGGAATTCGATCGCTGCGGAGACACCGCCCGGAGAGATGAGGCCGGCCAGGCTGCTTGGCGGTGGCGGTGCCGACGCGCCGTGCTGCGGCCTGCGCTGCGCGTCGAAGAAATCCTGTGGGGAGCCCACGTGCACTCACGGCTGCGCAGGAGAGTGACAGCACCGACGTACACGTGCGTACTGCGGTGCGTGCATGGGAAAAAAATTCTATAGAAACAGTATCCACGTTTGGGCAATGCATATATGCATGGATGCGTGACACATGCTGACCTTTATGGTGCACGCGGGTCTGCGGCGGATGGGTGTGGCCGCGTGAACGAGCCTCGCTGGAGCCAAGTCTATTTTTAGCAGAGGACTACTCCTTGACTAGCGTTGGATCGTTGAAGTCTAACACGTGTCAGGCATCCACGCCATGTATGCATAGTGCAGTGGTGAATACAGTATGCGTAGAATTTTTTTCCGTGCATGGAGGCAGCGCGGTTCACGGTGGATCGCCGTGGACACTGGACAGGACGTGGGCCAGGGCAGTCATTGATGTCCGGTAGGCTTGAGCCCAAATCTGTTCACAGCTTTCTGGGTTCCACATGTGAGCCGAATACTCTGAAACATACTTGGGATACTGCGGGAAGACAGATGCAGGGCGGCCAACAAAATGGGCCGTGCTATATGTTGGCCGAGCGGGCCTCCTATCGCTTCCGCAAAGGACAAAAAAAAAAAAAACCCTATGAAGTCTGAGCGTTGCGGTCTGATGTTTCTCCCCAATCTATCTAATACCTAAAAGGCTAATATTAAAGAGCCAAAATTTCTCTCTAATTTTTTTTTTGGGCTGGCCCTCCCTAACTAATTTTTTGAATGTGAAAATTGTCTATCCTATTTTTATATAACACATAGTTGGGTTATTTAGAAGGAAACAATAATTGTGGTCAATAAACAAAAGAAGAATGGCCAACCCAAAGTACATTGGTGGTTAGGAAGTTCCACCTCTTTGTTACTTTGGGGTTAATCAGGCTTTGACTATTGCAATGGTTCCAATCAACTTGACGGCACTGCCTTCCTAGCTCTTTGCTTTCAGTATTCTGGACATCAAATTCTCATAGGCAACTTGAAAGGTCATCCACTTTTGGTATCGACAAGATGTCTGCGCTGCTTCTAACCACTAGTTTTTTGTAGTGAACTTAATTGGCAGGCGATCCTTGGACAGACACTGGATGGCTGGATATCTGTGTATTTCCAACTCTTGTAGTGTACCTTAGAGGCCATCCTTGGGTAATGACCAGATGGGCCACACATTGGTATATGATTATTCTCTTAAGGTTGGGAATTCTATGCAAACCTGGAGGGAGGCCCTGCATCTTGTCCCAGTACTAGAAGTTGATTGTTCTTTTTTTATGAAATCACCGGGGAGGAGGGAGAGACCCCACATGAATATATTGATATTTGGCCCTTATGGCCTGTTGTCAAGGTTACAATAACAACACTTCAGTACTAAAGGTTGATTGTTCTTGAGAGAAGTAAGGAGCTGAAGTAGCTCATCTTGCTACTGTGTGAAGTGTTGTACCTCTTTGTCCCTAAGAAAGCTCAATTCAGATAGTGAGTAAGACAACAAGCTACACATGGGTACAATAAAGGACATTCCAACGCATTCAGTCTGAAGTGTCTATAGTTTTGGGTGGTAGTGAAACAACACGAGAATTGGGGATTTCACTGACAATTTCAATAAGATGACCTTCAGCGGGGAGCCGGGGAGTGGCTACAATCCCTCACCTCTTAAATCCCTACATCCCCGTATGTATAAAATAGTGATAGAGGTGAGGTGTGAGAGAGGCAAAAGTGTCTCTACACCCACTATGCCTTCAAGAGACATAATCCGGCCAAGGAGGTTGGGAAGGGGAAACAAGAATCCAGGGAAGCTAGGCAGGGAAACAAGAAGAGGATGATGGGGAATGGGAGGAGAGTAACTTGGGGGTAACCACTTATCTGCAATGTTTGAAAGAAATGTAGATTTTGGAGGCCCCCTCCTCTGTCTCTAGTTTGCTCTGAGTCTTTGCCTCCATCGAGCGAAATAGGAAGGACCGAATTTGGGAAGTCGAAGATTTTCAAACTTTGTAGTTGTGGAGGTAATAACAATAGTCCTTATATTTTGGCTGCTATTTCCTCATCTCATCTTTGCTGGTCCACCACACCAAACCTAGTAAAATTCTCACACTTGCAAACAATGAATTTGTGGAGCTTTGGAAATAAGGCAATAGATGCGTTAGCTACCCTCCATTAGCACCACACTCTGCAATGGTGAGGTATTCAACTGGACATTGATATCTGACATGATCATCACCTTTAGTCAAAGAAAAGGCATCACTTGAGTCAATTATCTCGAGGGCATTTAGGGATGATAGCTTTTATAGGAGAACAGACAGAGCAGGGCATCTCCACATAGTCAACACTCCTAATCTAGATAGGTTATCAAAGTTCAACGCTCTCCAAAATCCTTGCCCTTAATATCCAAGATAAGCCGAGAATTAGAACATTCTCTTAATTACGATTGTTCAATCCCTGAACCAACATGTGCAATAGTAAGCGCGTAGCACTAGACCAAGGAATACAAGCAGTGGTGGGGGCAGGGGTGAGAGGGGGGCGCCCCCTAGGATGTGTGAGAAAGGGAACTCCATAAGTTCTAGGCAATCTTTTGAGAAAGGGAACCCCAGGATGGTAATTACTTTTGAGTAAGAGAATAACTCACTAGGACCATTTCCAACCCATTTTCTCAATTTTGGAATCTTAAATAGTTCTAGCCTCTTTAAATTTGTGAAGCCTTGTCCTAGTGTACGGCTTTTATATTCTACACCATGTTCATCAACTAGCCACGCCTCTCCTAGAGGTGGAAAATTTGTCCAAGGTGCATCATTCAATTGAAGAGATTCCAAAGTTCTTACCAAGATGTTCACGTCAAGCCACGAAGGATGATTTTCACCTCCATGCCCCTTAATATAGAGCTTGTAGAGACTGCTATTTGGTCCGAGACTTTTAAAGATATTGTCTCGTATGTGACCTGAAATCATGACCCATACTCGCATGAGTTAGTACAGCTCGCGTCTAGTGATTATGAATATATGAAGTCCGATTCTAATACGTATTTGGCTCATATGAGTTAAGTACAACTTGCATTTAGCGATAACATTTAGCGATCATATGAAGTTTGATTCCTATTAGTATTGAGTTCCATTGCAACACACATGCACGTTTGCTTAAACTAAAACTAGACATTTTAACCCTGTTCATATTTTTTTATTAGAAAAGAGGGATGGATTTTATAATCGCTGAACTGTAGCGTACACCCCTAAGTCTTAAACAAGTCCCTAGTCAAACATGATTTTACAATAACAAACACAAACACAACACAAACACATAGGACTCCCGATATGCCACCGACGCACCTCGTCGGAGAAAGAGAAACTCTATCCAGCTTCAAAATGTGGAGACAACGTCAACTCTAAAGAAAAAGCCCGAGTCATTGTTTAAGTGCCGCATGAGACAACCCCACCAATGGAGACACATTAAATCCATTGAACGTACATCGGCCATGGTCATGCTAAAATTGGAGGATGACAAATCTCGCACCATCACCTTCGTTGATAGAGGAAATCGCACAACCCAAAATTAGGAAGTGCGCATACATCGAACCCAAGCCACATGAAGTTAGGATTGGAAGGTAAAGAAGCACCATGAAAGATAAGGGTTCCGGTGTCAATGATGTACCGAGCCATGACCCCGAGCATCCAAAATCCAGCATAATAATAAGACTCTAGCCTGAACAATACAAGCGGACTAAAATGACTCTTGATCCAATAGAGGAATAAAGTCCAGTAGTACTACCCGGGGAAGAACAAGAGGGAGCAGTACCCATGCCAAAGATCTACCATGGGGAAAGTTAAACTAATCTAATACTAGCTAGTATTCACATATCCGATGTTGATTGAAAGGTCAACTCCACTACCTGTGCCTATGAGGCAACCTGAGACGAAGTCTAGTCACCGCTCTCTACTGTTACGGGGATGTTCTGGAAGAGGAATTAAACCTAGCTAGGTTAGAAGTGGTTTTCAAGATGATTTCATTCTCCTTTAGTTAAATATCCAATAAATACCTAATAAGGCTTTTAATGCATGAAAAAAGTATCTAAGGTTCTCAAAATTCTGAGAAAAATCCTAGAGATAAACCAAAATAAATGTTTAGAGCTCTTGAAAATATCTCAAGAAACTTCCAAATTGGAACTAGCCCTAACAAAATGGAAAAAAACATCTTGAAAATTTTAAAAAAATCTCAAAAAAAATTCTAATTTATGTCTTAATGTGTTTTATAGATTTTACATAACAAAAATATGAGATGCAACCAACAAAGAATGCAATATGCATTTAACACAGAATGCATTCATGTTGGTTGTATCTCGTGTTTTTTATTGCATAAAGTTTTCATAGTATGTTTAGACATCGATTGACGATCATAACATTTTGGGAAACTTTCATATTTCTTTGAATATTTTCCCATTAATATAGACCTAAATCTAAATTTTGGAAGTTTTTTGCTATAATTTCAAGAGCTATAAATATTTTATTTGCGTTTTTCATGTGCTAATCTTATGATTTTTTCTCTAAACTTTTAGAAGTTTATATATTTTCTTGATTTAAAAACCTTATAAGGTATTTACTATATTTTCGTATAACTAATGAAATGATGAAACTGACTTGAAAACAATTCAACCTAGGGAGATAATGTAAATGATTTTTGAGAGTTTAGGCAGTAAGATGTCCAATTTTGAAGTTTGACGAGGAAAAAGCATATCATGATAATAGTTCATAAAGGTAAAATGATTTTTTTTGTTTGTTTGCAAATTGTAGGATGCGGTGGTACGGGCCGGGCTGCTGTTGGATCTGTTGACATTTTTGCAGACCTCGCAGCTGGCCTCTTAATTTCTGAATTTGTGTCGCGATTATTGTGAGCCATGTGCCAAACAACTCGGCCCGTCAAGCCGGAATGGCGGAATGCCAAGGCCCCCATGTCGATTGTTTTGTTTTTGTTCACGAGAAAAAATAGGCAGTCTAGAGGATAGAAACTAGAAAGGCAGAAAGCAGTGCTCTCACACCAGGCTTATTTTAAAAACAGAACAATGGTGACAACGATGTGCTACCTTCACGGGAGGAGACCTGCCCTGGTGCCCTGCACGAGTATTGTATTGCTCCGGAAAGAACACCTCACCTTGCATTTCGTTGATGCCTAGCTGAAGACTGCAGAGGCACATCTCTGAAAGCCTGAAATGTTCCTCGTTCACTGATGTCAATCTCCTCATTACCTTCCAACGACACAAAGTATTCCTGCCCATCGAAGCTCCATTCCCTTCCAGCTCAGCTGAGCTGGTGTATGCGGCACAGCGGCACCTGCACAACGTGACCTCGACGGAGTAGTTCACCCGTGGCGCGCCATTCGTTCGCCGTCGTTCTCCGATGGCGCAATAACTATTATGGTCCATTAACTATTACTCGAGGCTTAATTTCATCCTTAAACTTTTAAAACGGTCGTTTAGGTCCTCAAACTTTGGTTTTATGCTCAATTTCATCCTACAACTATGAAGATGATCGTTTCACTCCTTAAATTTTACATTTTGAGCTCAATTTCATCCATAAACTATCAAAGTGCATTTAACTTTTATTTTCAACTCAATTTTGTCTATTAAAAAAACTTTATATTTTAGGCACAATTTCATCCATAAATTATCAAAATTATAGATCTGCTATTGTTTCAATATATCCATGTATTCTTAAAAAATAAATAGTGTTCGATATAACTGTAATTGCTCCAACAAATATCATTTAGTCGGATATATATAAATGGTACCATTATAAGGTAACACTAAAAATAACAGCTTGAAAGAGTTTTTGGATGAATATTATTTTTCTATCTCCAATCACCGGTGGTGTTGGAGCTAACCACATGCAATTCCAGCGTTCCATGTACAACGTAGAGACAAAGTTGAATTGAAAATAAATGTTTAAAGAACAAAATACAGTTTGATAGTTTATAAATGAAATTGAACTCAAAATGCAAAGTTTGAAGACTAAAACGATCATCTTTATAGTTATAGGATAAAATTGAGCATAAAAATAAAGTTTGAGGATTTAAACGGCTGTTTTAAAAGTTTAGGGACGAAACTGAGCCTCGAATAATAGTTGAGCGCTATTCTGCCTTCTCCCATCCAGCATCAGACCTCCGCATGCTGACACGGGGTGGCGGCCACTGGTTGGTAGAAACCGGCAGATAGCATGGAATTGGAGCGCCGCATATGTTATCGGCCTGTAGAATGCTCCAAACCGAACTCTTGTCCTGCGCTGCCAGCACAGACGTGGAGAAGGCATCGCGGATGATTGGGCCCGTGAGAGGGACGCGAGCCGCCCGGCTCTTGGCAGCCACAAGAGCGCAGGTGGCACCGCCGGATTGGCCGGCTGCCGCTCTCGCGTACTCCCTCCGTCCTGTCGACTGTCGCTGGGGAGTTGAACGCTGGCGGCACCAGTAATAAAAAAAAACGTTTCCTGTTCTAGCACATCCATCCTCTTCTGTAAAAAAAGAGTCAGACGTGTGGACACACTCTCCTCCACTCATTTCCTGCTCCTGCACCTTCCCACTCCCCGTCGATCAGCAGTGCCTTCTGTTCTTGGTAAACATGTCTGGTCATAGAACGACGGTAGTTGCGGGACGGAGGGAGTATGCTCCAGGCCTGCAGCAATCTGAAGGCCCCCGTTGTGCCAGGTGTCGCCTCTGCAGGATACGCATATTGCGCGTCCCGAGGCGAGGCCGCGAGGGGGCAGTTGCAGAGAAGGAAAAGAGATGGAAGAAAAGTAGAGAGAATTCGGTTGAGTTCACTCTCACTCTCATGACTGAATGATTGATGAGATGAAATCTTGTGGAAGTGGCAGGCAGGCGAATGTTCTGCCCCGCTCTGCTTCGATGTCATGCTTGTCCCACATCGATCAGGGAAAGTGGCGTGGCTGGACTGGCTGATTTCTCTCGTCGATCAGCCAAAGAGCGAGATGATCAGATGATGCTAACTTGCCAAGGACAAATGGGCAGAGCCCCGACCGTTTAATTTCGCTTATGTGGATGTACTACGAGCCATTGAACAGGGAGGACGCAACGAGAAGAGAACAAAATCACAACTCATCACCAGGACACCTCATAAAACAAACCGAGGAACATTGTTCATGCAAAGTGCCCTGATTAATCTCCAATGATCGACCATATCAGTTCCATTTGCGGATACGTTAGACTTAATGGTCATGGGGAGTTCGTGTGTGGTCCAGAAGGGGGCAGGATTAGGTTTAGAGCCCTTTACATAACGGCGTGCCATGCTAGAAACCTCTCGAGTTTTCCTTCAGAAAGGGGCGAGGACGAGGACGACAGCTAATGCCGTCACGCTCATACAGCTTGTACGTTGCAACTAATCGAGCCTGCGATAAGAATCTCAATTTGTAGGGCTCGCTGTCTGCCTGTGCGTGATGCAATGCAACGCAATGATTCGCTGTTCCTGTTTGTTATTATTGCCAATCATCAAGTTTCCGAGCATCTCCATTGGCGGATAAGTACTACTATGATTTTTTTTCAGAGGATAATGCAGCTAATTGTGCTTATTTAGTAAGTATATATCCACCCCGTACTCTTCATCTGAATAATAATGTCCATGCCAAATGTGTGCCTCGTTTTTCCAACTGGCAATTTGGCAGTTGAAATATGTATATGTCGAGCAAGAAATGCAGCATGCTGACTTCAATTTAGCTGATAAGTTTTTTTTTAAGAAGAAACAAGAAGTCCTGATAGTCGCTTACGACGATGACAGCCATGCTGACAGCGCATGCGTCGCTATTCCACGGCGTGCACTCGGCCATATTCTTGGTTGTTTGATTTGTTTTTCTAGCTGCACGCCTGCACATATGCTTGTAGTCATCGCGCTCAGTGTTCGCTCTACTTCACAGTAGTCCATAACAAGTTCTACTGCACATATGCATAGTTTCATCCACCTACCTAATTAATTCTTCGATCTGACAAGTTCCTAGCCACAGCATATAACGGTCATGTACCGCCACGCCACTGAAGCTGGACCAGTAATTGGAAGCACCAGAGGTTGTGTAATTTCAGACGCACGTCAGGATCTCAAATTTTCAATTCGCTTGTTAATCTTTTTTCAGAACGTACAGTACGTAAGCACACAAGGCATATAGAATAAGTGAATAGCCCCTCCGATTAATCACTGGCCACCAGTTCGCGACTCTGGCTGACATAATGATGAGGGTTTAGTCGGTTGTGGGCGGCAAATTATATCCAAGAAAACCTCTAACCAGAAACTAAACCCTTATCCCTGAGACCCTGACTAAATTAGTGTAATCAAGCGGTCGCTAAGCAAACCATCATCGAGGCGATGAGCTCGTCCTCTCCCCTGCACCAGCTAGCCGTCCTCCTCCCGCGCCCCATATATACCTCGGCTCTCCCGTCTCCGGCCTCACACCACACAGCAAGCACAAGCGCAGAGCCTGAGCAGAGCTATTAGCTAAGCTACTAGCTAGAGAGCAGCAGCTGCTGGTCTGAGTCTGACATGGCGAAGGACATCGAAGCATCGGGGCCCGAGGCCGGCGAGTTCTCGGCCAAGGACTACACCGACCCTCCGCCGGCGCCGCTCATCGACGCGGAGGAGCTCACCAAGTGGTCGCTGTACCGCGCGGTCATCGCCGAGTTCATCGCCACGCTGCTCTTCCTCTACATCACCGTGGCCACCGTCATCGGGTACAAGCACCAGACGGACGCGACGGCGTCGGGCCCCGACGCGGCGTGCGGTGGCGTCGGTGTCCTCGGCATCGCCTGGGCCTTCGGCGGCATGATCTTCATCCTCGTCTACTGCACCGCCGGCATCTCAGGTCCGGTCCGGCCGCCACCCTTGCATGCAGCATATATATGCGCGTGCCGCTCTTTTACTGCATTGAATCGTGTGCGTGACACAAAGATGTCTATGTACGCATGCAGGTGGGCACATCAACCCGGCCGTGACCTTCGGCCTGTTCCTGGCGAGGAAGGTGTCCCTGGTCCGCGCGCTGCTCTACATCGTCGCGCAGTGCCTGGGCGCCATCTGCGGCGTGGGGCTCGTCAAGGGCTTCCAGAGCGCCTACTACGTGCGCTACGGCGGCGGCGCCAACGGGCTCAGCGACGGCTACTCCAAGGGCACCGGCCTCGCCGCCGAGATCATCGGCACCTTCGTGCTCGTCTACACCGTCTTCTCCGCCACCGACCCCAAGCGCAGTGCCCGTGACTCCCACGTCCCGGTGAGTACACACATAGACACAGTTAATTCAATTCTGGCCTGGTACACTGCTCATATATGAAGACATATATATACAGTAACAATAGTGAACTGTTGCTGTTAGCTAGTGGCAATATATACAAAGTACTCGATCGATGCTAAAGACTGTACTGTAGAGTTATGCATACGACCAAAGGCAGAAATTAAACAGATGTTAAATAGAGCCTGCAGAAACCAGGAAGTGAGTTGAGAAAGGACTTGACCTGACGTGCATCAGTCCTTTTGACGACTAGTACTCATTCTGTCCTAAAGTTTTTTCTTTGACAAATTATATATAAAAGAATATTAATATTTATAATATATAATTAGTATCATTAGATAAATCGTTGAATGTACTTTCATAATAAACTTATTTGAAGATAAAAATGTTGCACGTATTTTCTATAAATCTAATCAAAGTTGAGAAAGTTTGACTTGACGTATCCCATAACGTCCTTCTTTTTTTGGGACGGAGGGAGTAGCTTTGGAGTCCTCTTGCTTTCCGTAAAAGAAAAAGAAAAGAAACTCAGGTTTAACTTTGCGGGAATACAAGCAAACTTCATAGTAAAAAGCCATCATCAGAAGGAAAAGCTAGAGTGCAGACTCCAGTTAAGAGTTAAAATTAGAGTGCAAATCACTTCAGCGCGCGAAGTGTTTACATTAACACAAAAACCTTTGTCATAACTTGTAACCAAGTTGGGTAGGGCTGGTAAATTAAGCGTGCAGCGTACAAGAAACATCCTTACAAATTAATCGTCCCACTTTCTGAACATCTAGGTAGAGTCTGAATTTCTACTTCTTAGTTCATACTGAATGAACCAACGAGGCAACGCCCATATAGCAATTCAGACATGATAGCTCATGAGCCCGACAAATCAATCATTTTCATGCCACAAATACAGTGTAATGCAACACAATTAGACATTCCATGTAGGGCACGTAATACAGCAATGGTCCCGAATCCCAGCTGTGCAGAGCTCTCAAAATCAGACGCATGTGAAGATGTATCCTGCTGCCGGATGCACGCATGAATTGGCAGTTTGGCACTGCATATGCCAATAAGCAGATAGGAAGATTCTCGTGTGCGTAGGCAGCAGTTGTCCCCGTCTTAATCGCTGCGCCCTCTACAGCGAACGTGAGGTGGCCAAGCCATCGAATTGCAAATGATTGGACTACTTCATGAGGATAAAATGTGTTAGGGATAGGAGCAAGGTGCAAAATTCCAAGAGAAACTTCTGGTCGAGTGTGGTTGCTTATTTTGCCTTTCAGATTTGGTGATGCATCCCTTTCTACTTTCTACAGTAGGTAGCTAGGAGCCTGCTAGAACCACGCGATTTCAAAATCCTGTGCTATTTTTTTCTGCTGGGACACATTTTAAAGGATACCCGTTTTGTCAGTAGCTGTTCGGATGATGTAGTGGATCATTAGGAAAATTACGATGATGTAACTGATCGATCGGCGAGCTAAATTAAAATATACGCAGCACTAACTATGGTTTTTCCTTGGATCTCTATATATATGCAGGTGTTGGCTCCTCTCCCAATTGGGTTCGCGGTGTTCATGGTGCACCTGGCCACCATCCCCATCACCGGCACCGGCATCAACCCGGCGAGGAGCCTGGGAGCCGCGGTCATCTACAACCAGGACAAGGCCTGGGACGACCAAGTACGTACACGTATCACCTATCATTAGCACTAAGAATTTTAAAAATGGCACGATATTCAGAAAGCCTGCTCAATTTTTCTCATGCTCAATTGCTAGTTGGCAATAAAACAATGATTTGTTTACTTAATGCGAACCAACGGCTCAGGACAAAGCTAATAAGCTAGCTCTAGCCTTACGACGACCATTGCTAATCCATCACAATGTATGTATATACTACTATTATTCCATTATTTAGTACAGCTGTTTAGTCTTATGCATGACATAAGCACCCCTTTATCGCAATATACCACCTCATCCCTTGCCACACCCTCCTCCTACCTTACGGACACATAGCCTGTTGGTTTGGCTGTGACTTGTCGTAAACGATCGTAAATTTTCAGCCAGAACAATATTTTTTCTTTCACACAAACCAACCTAGCAGTACTTCTTCACGAACCAGCCAACCGAACAGGCTGTAAAAGATGCCCACATCTGTTTGGAACTAGTACTAGTATAACCCTGTTGCACAGCTGTTGCTTGCTCAAGCATTTGACTATATATATTTTTCTCACAACAATAATCAAACTAATCTTTACAAGATAAGTAATACTCAAGCAAGTAAAACTATTGCTTAGGATATCTTACATTATATACTATCGCTAGTACGTACACCTTCATTATATATAAAAAAAACCATAACTGAAAGGTGTAGTTTAACCATAGGTCCATAACTGAAAGGTGTAGTTTAGTTAGCTCCTCCACCGCTCACTGTCGAACGTTTGTGTATTATTTTTTGCAGTGGATCTTCTGGGTGGGCCCACTGATCGGCGCCGCCATCGCCGCCGCCTACCACCAGTACGTGCTGAGGGCCAGCGCCACCAAGCTCGGGTCGTCCTACCGGAGCAACGCCTAAAGTCCGGCCGCCGGACGCGCCAGGAGCTGGGCACCGAAGTGTAGATACGCCGCACAGCCGACGCCCTGTTCCTCCACATCTGCCAGTCTCCGTACGTTAGTTAATTGTGTCATGCACGCGGGTCTCCACGCCGTGTTTCCGTGTGGCCAGGAATCCTCTTGCTGGTTGTTGCTGCTGTTTTCGTCTTCGGAAAAAAAAAGTGTGATATATATCTTTGCTTTCTGTATATATATGAATGCATTCTGTAAGGAGAATTTTTAAAAAAGTGTGATATATCTTTGGTTTCTGTATATGTATGAATGCATTCTGTAAGGAGAATTTGGAAGCCAATTATGTGAGTTTTTATTTATCAAATCTGTTCATGTCTATAGAGTTCTTTTTTTTTGAATAATCTGGCAAACTTTATTGATTCGATAAAATGGGTACATCGTTTACAAGCAATTGCAGGATAGAATTAGGAGGGTCATCGACCCATACAAAAGAACCCTTATCTAAAAGGTCCTGAATCTTACTTGCAACTTTAGCAATTTTTCGGAAGGAAAAGGAAAAGAACCACGACTTGACCATTGGTATGTGTTGGGCTTACGGACCAAGTTAGCAAGCCCATGGGGGGCGCCGTTTCTCCTCTGTTGTACTGCGGTGCTGGCCTGCTGGGCTTCCTTGGGATTGAAGCGGCCGAGCTGAAGCCGTTAGGCCCAGAACAAACATGCGACCGGGAAGCGAGGGAAAGGACGCCGGGCCGGGCAGTCGTGGGAGATGTGGCGGCGGTGACGACCATCGCTCGCGATCGCCGGTCGCCGTCCGCACGCCATAACACTCCTCGGCAGATCACAGATGTGCCCGTGCCGAATGCTCTAGTGTTTGATGCGGCGCACAGGTATGCGCAGGGTCCATGGACCTCGCATTCCCTTTCCCTCGGCGTCGCTCTCCCTTGGAGGGCCCACGCCCGCCTTGCTGCGCGCGCATGCGCGAGCCGGTCCAAGCAGCGCGGACGAAGGCGACGGCCACCTCGATGGCGGCGCTGGAGGAACGGGACGTGCACTCTCGGGGTGTACGAAGGCGAAACTGTGCTAGAGCACGAGGGCAACCGCACATGCACGCCACCTGTTCGAGCGAGTGCCTGAATCCATGAACCATGGGCTGCCAGTGAGGTAACGCTCCATAAGTTTTCTCCCTCTGTTCTGTATCATGCGCTTTAGATTGAGAGTTCGAATTGGTTATGTGTTCTGCTTATTCAGCAGCAATTTCAACTCTAGAGCCAGCAGACACAACCATGAACAAGAAGTTCCTTTATCTGGGTGAGCTGATTTTGGTGACGTTTCTTCCTTTTGTGTTTTGTTTTGAGATAGACTGACAAATCATTGACCATGGCAAGGATACAAGGACCAGCGCCAGTGGCGAAACTAGAGCAAACTAGAGGGGGTTGTGCCTGCCTTGTAGATGCGTAGACTTACCGTAACCATGGTGAAAATTTGATCCTATTAACTGACATTCCATTTTTTCTGGGTCCATTGGCACCCACAACAATGTATATATCCTCATTATTACCTGAAGTGCCAGTGGGCAAGACGTGTATAGCTGGACGACTTCTTTCTGACATGGATGAGATGAGTTGGTCGACTCTTATTCCTTCCATGTTGATCTGCTATTTTCGTTTTATTGTATTCCCTAAGTCCCAAATCAAAGGTCGTTTTGGCTTTTCTAGGTGTATAACTTTTGCTATACATCTTGATATACGGCATGTCTAAATACGTAGTAAAATCTCTATATCAAGCAATGTTATCAGCACGGCTGGTCGAGCCTGGTCGCCTTGGGACCGTCCAGGACGATTAGCTGTTGTCCACGACGATTAATCGACCCTGGACGAGTCCCCTGGTCGTCCCGGTCATCCCCTACATATGGGGACTGATATATACCATATATATAAATTATAGTTTTGCTAGGGCCTTCTCAACAAGAGATGCAACATCTGGAGCAGCTGAGGATGCTGAACAAGCAGCAGCTGAGCCTGATGCAACTGAGGAGGCTGGAGCAGAACCAACTTCTCCTTGAACATCGGCCTCAGGCATGCACACTTCCACCCGCTGGATCTGCAGGCCTGTGCGCCTGCAGCAGCAGCAGCCGCAAGGAAGAGAGGGAAGGCAGCTGGAAGGGAGGGAGGAGCAGCTGGGAACCGGAAGGGAGGAGAGGAGGAGAGGGAGCTGCAGAACTGTAGCAATTGAGGCTGCTGCTGCAGCTGGACGGGAGAGGTGAGAAGAGTGCGTGTGTTCTGCTGACTTCTGAGTGAGTGAGAGGCTGAGGGGGTGAGGGGTAGGAAAGAAGAGAAACCCTAATGGGCTTGGGCCAAAACATAGGACAGCTAGCTAGGCCTAACTCTGAGAGGCAGCCCACTCTGTGGCTGGACGACCACACAGCCTGGACGGACGATTAATTGCGACTGGACGACGACTAATCAGACAACCAGGTTTCTGGACGGTCTAGCCGAGTCGGAGGCCCTGGTCGAGTAGCTAAGACCGTCCAGGACGATTAGTCGCGACTAATCGCGATTAATCGGATGTCCTGATAACATTGATATCAAGGACAACCAAGATGACCTATAATTTAGAAACAAGGGACTACTTACTAATGTGAAATCAGTAGCATCATTCTTAAGTTATAAAGCAACATGACAATGAACTGATGCAAGAAAAGTGTGTCAACTTAGTAATGTACTGCAATATGTGCACAAACTTATAAGAGAAACTCAGAGATACTTAATTATTCCTTTATTTAGAAAATCCCCTTTAACTATATACAAGATATTCATACCAAAGTCAAAAAAGAAGCAAAACTTCCATAAACCACCCGAAAATTGTATCTACTGCATGCAAAATAAGAGTTTTTTTTCAATAGTAGATGAAGCGTGCATTATTGAATATACAATCATCATGCATTATGTTACATTTCTCACTAGAGAAGAAAATTCATCTGAGAGAGATCAATTAAACACAAGGATTTCCCCAATGGCCGCTGTCCTTGAAATTGCCTCACTTTGGTGCATCACTGGTCACACCAATGTTGTCAAGCCATAGCACTAACTGATGTGTTAATGGCCGCAGTTTTGGTGAATCACTTATGCACAGACAAGCAACATCAATCATCTGCAGCATTTGCGTCTCAAATTTCTTATCATACATTGCACGGTCCAAGACATCAGCTTCACGGTTTTCCTTTTTCATATGTGTAACCCATGAGACTAACTCCCGAGCTCCCTTCGGCTTGCACATGTCTACAGGCCTCTTTCCAGTTAATAACTCCAGAAGGACAATGCCAAAACTATAAACATCACCCTTGAAAGTGGCTACTGAAGACTGGCCGTACTCAGGGGGAATGTAACCCAGCGTGCCAACTAGGTCAGTGGTCACATGTGTGGCGTAGGGACAAATAAGCCGAGCAAGCCCAAAATCAGCCAAATGGGCTTCAAAATTCTCATCTAGAAGGATGTTGCTTGACTTGATGTCACGATGGAGAATATGAGGTTGGCATGACAAATGCAGGTATGCCAAACCTCTTGCTGCTCCTTTTGCTATCTGAAGCCTTCTTGGCCAGATTAATCTGGAGGGACCATCTGGCTTTTCATGAAGCCAATGGTCTAGGCTGCCATTTTCCATGAAAGAGTAGATCAGGAGTCTGTTATTGCCAATCCTGCAGTAACCTTGCAGAAGCACAAGATTGGGATGCTGAGCTTTTGATAACGTCTCCACCTCTGCTTTGAACTCCCGTTCCATCTGACCAAAATCACCTGATAGTCGTTTGATAGCAATTGCTGCTCCATCTTGCAATGTTGCCTTGTACACTAGACCAAAGCCACCACAACCAATGATGTTAGCCTGATCAAAGTTGTTTGTCGATTTCAAAATGTCAGTGATGGTTAATGCCTTATCAGCCTTGTCCTGAAACAGTAGTACCAGTGAGGCTGGTGCCAACTCAAGGGCTTGATTAGTATCTGCGACAGCTTTTACTGTATGATCCTGCCTTCTGAAGCTACTCTTCAGTACAAATACAACAGCAATAGACAAAACAAATGCTGCCCCAACTGCAATACCCATAGCTATTCCAAATATGATGCCCTTGTTCTTTCTCTTATTTGTTGCAGCAATTGTAGGAGCAGGAGTTGAATGACACCGGGGTAGGCCTAGGCGAATGCCACAGAGTTTGGGGTTACCCTCATAAGCAGAACTACTGAATGTCCAGAATTGACCTCCTGATGGAATGGTACCATTCAGATTGTTGTATGCCACACTGAAGCTTGATAGAAAATTCAGCTTCGTTAATGAAGATGGGATGCCTCCAGTAAGATTATTATGTGACAAATCCAAGGATTCCAAGCTTGACATCCCTGATAGATCATCAGGAATGGTACCAGAAATATTGTTGTTGCTGAGGTCCAATACATTTAGGTGCTTTAGGATCCCAAAGCCCGATAATATGGGGCCTGTGAGCTTGTTATGGCTGAGAACTAGGGAGGGTGGGAAGCTGCTAACTTGATTGTACTGCAACCCTTTGCCTGTCTTGTTTCTTTTGATGAAGAAAGGAAAATAATCAGTCTCTGTAGATTCCTGTGAGATCTTTCTTGTTACAAGGGCCTTCATGTTAGACAAGTTTTCCGGAATTCCTCCACTAAGTGAATTATTGGATAGATCCAAATAGAACAGAAACTCAAGATCACCAATCCATGCAGGAATATTCCCGATCAATTGATTCCATGACAGATCTAGCACCTTCAATTGTGTGAAATTAGCTAGCCATGGTGGTACCGATCCTGAAAGATGGCTATTTGCAATGACAAACACTTGGATGTTGTGAAAACCTTGTATCCCAGTCATCGGCAAGGCCTTCTCATCATGGAAGTTCTTTGTGAGCACGAGGCTTGTTAGACTTGGACAGTCCTGAAGGACAGATAATGCTGAAGGCACATCTGTGAAGCTATTGTTTGAAAGTGAGAGGTAGGTTAGCGACTGAAGCTTCCTGAAACCAGCAGGGATTTCACCACTGAGGAGGTTTGTGGCAAGGTTCAGGCTCCTCAGATTATGGCAATCCGACAAACTGTCAATTGTGCCAATGAACTTATTTGTGCCAAGGTCGAGTGAGCTAAGTTGTGTCATTGCTGAGCAATTGAGGTTGATCTCTCCATTCAATGAATTGTTCCTCAGGTACAGCATCTTCAGTGACAGAGAATAGCACAGCGAGGGAGGCAATGGACCCCTGAAGAGGTTGGACTGTGCAGAGAAGAACTCCAACTTGCGGAGGCTACCAAAAACATTTGGAAGGTGCCCAGAGAATGAATTGAAAGATATGTCCAGCCTATCAAGGCTGGACAGGTTACCGAACCTTGGGCTCATCCCCCCAGAGAGTTGATTCTCTTGCAGAGACAGAATCTTCAGAGATGGCAGCCTGAATAGGTCATCTGGCAATCTCCCGGAGATGATGTTGAGTTCGACATGCAGCTCCTCAAGCTTTGTGCAGTTCCCGAAGCCTGCTGGGAAGTCCCCAGTAAAGAGATTGGATGTGAATCGCAGCACACTGATTTCACCAGACGACTCACAGATGCTTGTATCAATCTGCCCGGCAAAGGAGTTGTACCCTGCATCGAACACGGTGAGACGCTCTGAACCACGGAGCGTGGGGTGGGAACCATTGAAGTTGTTGTAGGATATGTTGAAGAGCTCGATCAGTGGGAGAGAAATGTTGTCTGGCAGTGTGCCCGTGAGCTCGTTGTAGCTGAGGTTGAGCTGCTGCAGCCTCTGGAGCTGGAACACAGGCGCGGGGACGGCACCATGGAAGTAGTTGTCGGAGAGGTTGAGCCACTGGAGCTGGTCCAGCTGCGCGAGCGAGAGCGGCAGCTCGCCCCTCAGCTTCCGGCCATGGAGGTCCAACCCGATGACCCTCCCGCTGCCATCGCACATGACACCGGTCCATGCACAGCAGCTGACCGCGCCGGTGGTTGCGTTTGGGAACGTCCAGCCAGCGACGCCACCCCCTTCAAGACCTTTGGAGAAGTCCTCCAGGGCTTTAAGATCACCCGGGTCGCAGGAGCTGGAGCTCTGGTTCAGGGAGTCGACTGAAGACAGGAAGAGCAGCAGTACCAAGACAGACAAGCACAGGAAGAAACTGCATGGCCATGTGGCGGTGCGTTGCATCAAGGAATGCTCCATAGAAGCAACGAAGCAGCAGCAGCACAGTGACGACGCTGGGCGGGGAAGAAGGCTTCTTGCTCGGTCTTTTCAGGACCTAGGCCATATGGCGCGTGAAGCTGGACTAGCCTGGGAGCTTGCACGGCAGCAACAATGGTGGAGGGAAGAAGGGAAGTGAGGTGTGGGAGGGAGACGATGGGACGGTAGTGTTGCCTGGGACGGCGTGGCGTGCGTCGGTTTTGACTTGTGATTGTGCAGGCACTCAGCCGTGGGTGGCCCGAGTTTTCTTCGGCGAATTGATTGTCTTTTTCAACTTGCTGAGAGAATCCATGGTCGGACATCTTTTGACCTCTGTTCAAAATTGGCCTAACCGTCGTTCTCAGTCACCCTTTCTCTCCATTTGGCTTCCCTGATGAACATGACTATTGTAACTATCACGAAAGCAGACCATTCTGAGGATAGAACCTGCATACCAAATAGATATTAATGAATATTGCCCCAGCCGATTAGTGCTGCCTTTGTGCCCGTATTATCAGAAATAAAATATAACCGTGATTATGGATGATAATATTCGCGAAACGTTGCAGAACAGTGAAAAGACATGAAGAGCTATGCCATTATATGAAGCGTGTTTAGTGGTGGAAATGCTAAAAGATTTGCTATGAACTACTGCCGTCGGTCATAAAAACATATCCTTAAGGACAGTGATCAGATCTTAAAACTATATACAAACATAAAAAAAAACTATTACATTGTTTAGTTTGGAATCGTGTACAAGTTGTATGTGTCGATTTATATAGCAAATACTGGATCCCTTATATTCAAAGAAATTTAAGTTTGTCTATAGGAAAAATTAGTACGAAGACTGCAAAGTCTAGCTTGTTGCTTGCGGTTGCTACGCTATTACTACTTGTCCTGGGCATGCTGACTGACCCGCGGGGTTTTTATGTGCAGGACTGCACATTCCGCTGGGAGTTGGGTGGGGGATGGCGATGGAAGGTTGGCGGCGAAGTCAACCGGTAGCGGCAGGTGGCACGTGTGCCGCCGCCACTTTCGGCCGGGCCAACGCCCCGCCCGCCAGGGCGCGTGCGATGCATGCATTGCACATTTGCACACCGCGCGTCAGTCAGCGGCCCCCAAAAACTGGGCGTCCCTTGCCGGGCGCGAAGGACCGGTGGAGAAAACACTGCCGCGTCTGCTGCACTGCACCAGGCCCGGAGAAAGAGCCCCGACGACGTACCCGGCGGCGGCTGCGTCGTGGTCTCGCGGATGTGACGATCCAATTGGCGGGTATGCTGGATGATCTGTTGGTGGCGGGAACTGCAGAGCCGGCTCTCACCTTTTATCGGCTTTGGTTTGATGTCTTCTTCAAGTTGTGCTATATGCCTACCCGGCTACGGGGAAATAATACGGCGCCATACACTATTATTACAGGGAAATGAAAGAGACGGGATTTTGATAGATCCACATCAGTCATACAAACACCGAAAGATCTTTTTTTTTTTTTTTTGTGGTGGTGGGGGGTTTAAATAAAGACAGGTACACATGTGATTCTATTGAATTCTCTGTTGAACGTCTTGGCAGCACGGAGATTGGACTAAATCACATCCGATGTCGGTAAGACGGTAATAGTTTTCTTAGGCCCTCTTTTGCAGAACTTTTGTTGTGTATATTCTTCACCGGCCTAATCAAACAGCCCTATCAAATGAGGACATACGATACGAGATTGGCTTCTAAAGCTGAAACCAAGGTAAAAATGATGAAGCTGAAGCCAATTTATTTTTTGCAAGAAACCAAAGCCACCAATACGTGGCTTCACCATTTTTTGAGAAGCTAAAGGTATACCAAAGAGATAATGCTATTTTATGTTGTTGTTTCAGTTAGCCCTTTTGGATTACCTCACTTCATCTGAAAAATTAGGTCTACTACCGTGTTAAACGAGAAAAAGGTCTGCTTTACAACCCTTGACGAGTCTAATTTTCAATCTTTAACAACAGAATCATTCAACTTTCAACACTTGTATATAAACCGATTTTAATCTTTACTCGAATTTAGAGTGCATTTAGGTCTATTGTTTTTAGTTTTTCTAGCAGTACACAAATTATCCTCCTTTTCAAATCTATAAATGTATTTAAGTTGGAGATACCCATAGTGCGAGCAACAAATAAAATTTGGGCCAATGCTGAAAAATGAATTGTTTCGCTAATTGATTAGTCAAAATTGAACGTTTCGTGGTTGAAGGTTATATAAAAGCTAGACTAGATCCATAGTTGAGGGATTTTATAAATTGTTAATTGACCTTTCTCTTGTTTGTTGTGTTGTTTTGATGGAAATTGTAGGCACACTAGAGTGCTAAATTTTAACCAAAAGGACAAAATTAGAAGGCACAATTATGCAAGCGTTCATCCAATAAACTATGCAACTTTACAGATTGTTCTGGCAAATGCATGCACACGCACCGCCTCTTTCGCACGCTGCGTGAGCAAATACGCGATTATGCACCAAGTTAAGCAAGCTCAGATTCAAAGGACTTCTCGGTTTACCACATAGCTTTCTTGCCGATTGCTTATTTGACCGGCCTCAGTAACTCAATTGGAGCTTGTATACGTGCTTGTGATATGATAGAGACATAAACCAAGTAAAGGAGCCGATAACTAACGAGTTACTCCGTGATTTACCCCTGAAGTGCGCTTCTCTTTATGGCCACTCAGACATTGTTGCCAGTTACCTATCGTAAGTGCAACGCCACATACAAGCGCAGCTTTTCAACTCTTCTTTTTTTCACCTTTTTGGTACCCACGAATGGCCGGAGTTGTGCTGGGAGTATATATTGGTACTGTTTTTGCACGCACAGGCGTGTAGAGCGTTTGAACCCGGAGGTCTATGACTATGAGGACATGGTTGCCAGCGTAAGTACGTGCAAGATCACCGTCAACCGGCCGCTAGATTGGACCATTGGACCACCGGCGTTGAGGAATGATCCCACCATGATCATTTGTACTGGAATTCGATAGCCGTATCTGCCATCCGCGATCGATATCCGGGCTTTCTCTTCGTTGACTAAAAATCACTAAGTCAATGCATTTGAAATTTTCCCATAACAGAGTATGTACTAGTAATTGACCTATAAAAATTATATCGAGTATAATACACGGGCGGTTTTTTGAACTTGTCTCGTCGTGTCATCTAGATCCCCAAATTCCAAAATACATTTTTAGGTCTTGGAACTTGTCTTTGTGTGTAATCTAGGCCTCAAACTTTAAAAAAATGCTATTTTTAGGTCCCCATGACTTATATCTGTGTGTCATCTAGTTTTCTAAACTTGTCACAGTGTGTCATTTAGGGCCTGTTCGGCTAGTATTAAAGCCGGCTGATAAGCCGGCTGAAGCTGATTTATTGTGAGAGAAAAATACTATAGATTCTAGCTGATAAACCGACTGACAAGTTTAAGCGAACAGGCCAGGTCTAAATAGACCTAATCTACTCCGTATCACAATGCCACATACCACGAATGGTTGATGCACACCTCATTCTTGAACAAGGAATGAACTTAATGGCAAAGCAATTGTTCGTCTGATTCCTCTGTCTAAGGAGCACTCGTTTTGGCCTTGCCACCACCATTACTGATGACATCGTGACCCTTGATATGGAGGATGATGAAGGCATGAGGTGAGAATGGCTAGTTGGCGATGGCGATAAGACGCCAAACTAGAATGGAATGCCGAGATAGGGAGGGAGCATGGGGATGCAGCTAGAATAGAGAGAGAGAGAGAGAGAGGGCATGTAGATGGAGTGCTAGTCTGGAGACCAATATGTGGGTTGGTTAGGGCTCGTTTAGATCTAGATGACATATTGTGACAAGTCTGAGGACTTAAATTTTTTTTCAAGATTCTGGAACTCAACACATCATAAAAAAATATATTTTCAAAGTACAGAGACCTAAATAATATCATGAGATAAGCCTGCGTAAACAGAGCAGCTGAGCAGGTATACGTTCATTAGCACAAATACACATATTCCTATAGTAATCGTCGGTCAATTATTTGGCTTAAAAGTTATTGTTGTTTTTTATCGGACTTGCTAGCGCCCGAACGTCTGATTCGGATGCTAGCGTTCGGATGGTGTCCACACAGGGAGCGAGCGAGCGCTTAGCGCGTCGGCCTCATGAGCGAGCACACCAGTAATGGGCTCACGCCACCCCGGATGTCGGCCGCACTGCTAGCCACTTTCTACGCGCATCCAATGTGCAACACCTGATGTACTTTTTAAACATTCAGATGCAATAGTTGTAACATACAAAAAAAAAGACAAATGAAATACTTGAAATAAGTGTCTGAAATACTTGTGAAAATGCCTGAAAAATATTTGAAAACCATTGCAAACATATGCAACATCCAGATGAAACACTTGCAAACATAAGTATAAAACACCTGAAAATACTTGAAAATATATGCTTGCAACATGCATGTATATGCAACATCCAGATCTACTTTTGCAATATTTAGATAAAACACTTGCAACATACGTCTGGAACAGATGAAATATTTGGAACATACACTTAGCTTTAAATATACGTGTATAACCATTACAATATGTGCAACATCCAAATCTAATTTTGTAACATCAATATACAACACTTGCAACATACCTCTGAAATATTTGAAACATTTAAAACATACTCTTGCAACATGCGCTACTTAGGGGGACGTTAACGGCCCGGCATACACTCAGACGCAGGCGCAGGCCTCCCCTTCCTACCGACGTGTGAGGTTGATGGGGGCGTAGGCGCAGGCCTCCCCTTCCGCAATGAGCGAGGTGGATGGAGGCGTGGCACGGGATGGTGGCGCAGACCGCGCAGTAGCTTGTGATGGGGCGCGCGAGCAGCCAGGGATGGGCGCGCGGGTGCGGCGCCGCCGTGCTGGAAAAGGCCGCGGCAGGCGGGTGCGTTGCCTGCGGCGAGCAACCCTGCACAACTGCGCTAGAGAAGATGAGCGACGCTGTCTTTT